CGCATTAAATCCTCATCTTCCGAGGTTTTCGTGGTTTTCCTTGCCATGTAACACAAAAGCTGGTTAGTTCCGTCAAGTCCTCCTCAAAGACAAATTTCTCTTAATACTTGGTCCAGGAATCAGGGCCGTCTTAATAGCACGCAGGGCCCCCGGGAACGGAAATGTTTTGGGACCTGAAAACAGGACATACTGCTTAAAATCGAACTAAAACATTTCACATACACAAAATAAAGCATTTTCAGCACATGCAATAATTTGAAAAAATTTAAATACATTTTGATTTAATTGTATTTATATTTGTTTCAAAAGAAACTGAAAAAAACTGAATTTGCATAAAAACTTCATTGGAACGTAAAAAAATAGATTTCGATTGTTTTTTTTAAAGTTTCCATGTTGATAAACTATTCTAATTATTGTAATTATTGTTGTTTGCATGATAATCAATCACTGTTTGTAGAAAGAAAAACAAATTACACACTTTATACAATAGAATTTATTTATTTTAAAAAATATATATAAGGTAATCTTGTTTATTTCTTGTTTTTTTTTTTTTAAATACAATTGATAAGGAGTGAGATTCTCAAGGGCCCCCTGAGTGCCTGGGGTCCTCGGGCACCTCCCGGTGGTGCCCATGCGTAAAGACGGTACTGCCAGGAATTCCCTTGTCTTCTGGAATGGGTTCGAAATTTCAAGGTTACGGAGTTGAGCATTCAACGATGGTTACAAAATAAATTTAATAAATATTACCAATATTAATTAAACATTTGGGTCAATAATAATATAACGATTTTTTAGAGTCCCCCAAAACTAATAAATATCTTTTCGACATGAACTTTGCTTTTTAGTACATAGGTTATTTTTTGTTTCAATTAGTACATATTACCAACATTAATTTATCATCATTGACGTCTATAATAGCATGACGATTTCTTAAGGTTCCTCTAAACAAATAAATACTGTGCTCCATACTCTATTAATTGTGAATTTTAGTACATTATTTATTTTATTTCAATTTTTCAACGATTACTTAAATTTACTGGCGTCAATAATAGTATGGCGATTTTTTACTTTTCTCCTAAAGGAATCAGTACAACATAAATGTTGCCTTTTCCATTACTTTTGATTTTAAATTATTTACTTTAATAGAAACACATTTTAATCATAATTACTGTAAAAAATAAAGGAGTGGTTTCTGATTACTTTAGGAATACTAATATGGTGACATAGTCCTTCCATGCTACCACGCTAACGTTGTTCATTGAATTTCATAGCGAATAAAAAATAATTAAATATTAAAGTAAGTGCAATAAATTGATCAAATAGAGCTATAAACTAACAAATGTCTGTAAAATATTTGGAAGAAAAAAAATATAGAGTAGTCTATAGTTTTAATTAAAACAATGGCTAAGGCTTAACCAATCAGAAAATTCTATTTTCGTTCTTCGCTCATCCCATTTCGTTTTCGCTCTCAAAAATTAAGTGGTTCTTTTACATTTTTATTCCTCGAAAGATTTCAACGTTAACTTTTGAAAACCTTATAATTCAAACAGTTTCGATCTCCCATCATTTTTGAATTAAATAATAAAAATTAATACTATTATTCAATCGATACTATATCTTACAATGTTTGATTATTTATTTAATACTATATCTGATTTTTCATCATCCATCATTTGAAAACTAATGTTTTCTTATTGAGAAAATGGAAAGTTAAAGAAAATAACTTTTATATACAACTTATTTAAAACCATATTTATTTTTGTAAAAATTTGATAACGGGGGAGACAAGATTCTTTAGTAAAAAAATTTTATTAGAATAAGGCAATTTTTTCACACTTTCATAAATAATGTCGAAAAATACTCATTATAAATCTAAAGCTTGCTATTTTATTCATTTTCAATAAAAAGAAACAGAGGTTCTATTGCGAAAAATTTACATAAATTTATCCAGAGATATGTATCAAGTAAACAAAACAAAAATATATCTGTCCTTGAAAATTTTAAATAAATAAATATATTTTAAAAACTTCTTTACATATTAAATTAAAAATCTAATTAAAGTAGTGAATACTTTTTCTAGAACACTTTTTATTTTTCCCGAAACATTTCCTGGGAATTTTTTTTCCTGGAACACTGGGAAAACAATGTCAGGGAACACTTTTGGGAGTTATTAAAAATAATTTGTAAATGCAGTCTTTTAATTAGCACTTGTATATGCTTGTATTGACTCGTACTATACAAAGTACAGATTGCTTTCTATTTCAACAAAATCTCTAGTACATTTTACATAAAAGTAGAATAAAACATAGAATACGAGTTTTTTTTTAAAGTCTTTTTTTAACTTTTTTAAAATTATTTCAGATGCATAGAAAAATCAAAACGTGGGCTAACATGCATACAAAATAGTATAATGTGACTTATCTTTCTCTACTACACTGTATAGATATTAACGCATGAATAATAGCTATATATTCTATATCATCGCTTACCTTTTAATTATGAATCCGGAAAAAGTTACATTCATGTTGGGAACGTGAGGGAAAAAAAAGAAGAAAAAATAGTACGTTTAAAACAAATGGGCGAAGATGACACTTTAAAAGCTATTTCAACTAATTCTTTGGATCTTATTCTCTGCCTAAAGGACACATGGGAATAACTGAATTGTTGCAACAAAAGGGTATTTTTTGAAGGTAAATACCGAAAAGATATTGTTTGAATGGAAAATACTTAAAATTATTAATTTCTTATATTTTATTTTGTTTCTTTTTTTTCCAAATGTAAAATTTCTGCCACATTGCTCAAGCAATATTTGCTCCCCTGCTCGAGTTGGCAGCCCTACCACTAGTCCATTACACCACTCCCATTCTTTTTGCCAAGCTTGCAATGACTGAAAGTGAAAAAAATATGGGTAATTTATGTGGGTTCACTTGATACTTCATGTTTTACTGAAAGATGGCAGCACTAAACAAGCTCATATTATTTTCTTTCGTCTCATTTCTGTTATGCATTATTATTTTAATTTTTTTTTTTCTTTATGTTTTTTAATATTATTTAATTATTTTTAAATTACCCTACTTTTTGTACCAAAAATTTCGTTAGTTCATTGTTATCTTCTCTTTTCGATAAATTTAATAATGTTAAATAGATAATAAATATTATATCTTTAATAATTTTATATATACATAATTCATATTTTTACAAACATATTAAGGTATGGTTAGACTAATAGTAGTCTGCCACGTTTGGGAAAGGTAACAATCGTGCAACTTTTATTATAGCTTTGATTTTGCATTTATTGATTCCTTAAGACCAAAATCTAATTCTGCTAAATGCTATGAAAGTTTATTATTCAGACTTGAAGATAGAGTTGTTTTAAATGAAGAAAAATTAAAATTTGCATTTTTATATTTTTCATAAGATAGTTTAGTTTGTTAATGTTTTATTATTCGCATTTTCATATCTTTGATATTTGTTAATAAAGATTTAAGCAGTCATGTTGTTAACGAAAGTATTCGTGTCAAAGGAATTGTTTTTTAATTTACAGCTTGATTGAATGCATAGAGTAAAACACACACAAAAATGCACGGCTACAATTTTCTTAGTTTTTAGTGTTCGACATATAAAAAAAATTTTAAAAAATAGAGTGAGAGTTTAAAGTAAGTAAAAAGTTCTAAATTATTTTGTTAGATGGCAGCACTACTATTTTGAAAAGGAGCTAAATTATTTTCTTCAAAAGAAGGTTTAATATTTTTTATATAAAGTTTAAAAAAAAACATGATTAAGTTACACTTAAATAAAATTAAAAAAATAAATATTGCCATGCGCATACGAGTGCAAACTGAGGTATGAAGGTGATAATAAATAAAATCTATCAAATGTAATTAAAGACGCATAAAAGTTAAAATAGACATTTATAAATTTAAAAAAGAAATCATGTTTGTAATTATGTAGTATTTTTATGTAATTAAATATTTCTGCAAATTGTTTAGAAAAACTTCTTTTTTGTGTATATTCTATATTATGATTAATTTTTAAGCATCATTAAAAGTAGATTTATTCAACTTCTCACTAAATCTAATTTTCATTTTTTTTACCCCCCCCCCCCCNTTTTTTTTTCCCCCCCCCCCCCTGTTAAGTTAGTCGCCAAATCATTGTATTACGATAACATAAATATTTCTGAGTCTATTTCTGTAACCAAAAGTAAGATTTTAACATGGTTTTTCGAGGTTCAGTCGCCAAGGAAAATAAAAAAAAAAAAGCCTCAGTTTAAGTACCTTAAACTCGAGGCAAAGCGATCATTTTGACTATACATATCATCTTGCCGTAAAAAATTGTCTGGGTTTTAAAACGGACTAACAACTTACATATTTAAAAAGTTATTAAACTTTTATGAAACTCGCCAATTTGGCGACATTTTTCCTCCTTTAGATGAAAATCACCAAAATTACTACCTTATTCTAAGTTTTTGGCAAATTTTTACGAGCCCAGATTATGCAGCATTAGAATAAATTTTTAAATATTGAAAAAATAGATCAGAAACGCTTTTCATTTTCATAAAGCTGTGGTTTTATTCCATATTTACGTTTTACACCATTTTCAAAATAAATTTCATTAACAGCGATGTCTTTAGATTGGCTAAACTTGACCTAACAGTCAAGGATAATTGTTGGAAACTTACAGAAACTCTGAAAATAGCTTATTATTTACAACAATTTTCATTTCTCATTTCATAGGACGACAGAGCCTTCTAAAGAAATTACAGAATCAGGAATCAACTTTCAGAATGAATAAAGAATCAGAATCATCTTTTAAAGAGTCTGGTTCTCGGTTTAGGGTAACTCCTAATCAATTTGTAAACCTTAACACCGTTTTTTTCTTTAAATTATTATTATTATCTAATTTAGCAATGCTATGAATTTACTGCATGTCTTGCAAATGAATTTTGTGAAACAAACAATTAAATTAGAAAAGAAGAAAAAAAATTATAATTTTATTTTCAGATGCGGAAGAGACTGAAGACGCAGACAGCGCTGGCGACAAATTTGTGGCCTGCAAAGTATGTGGCGATAAGGCTTCTGGATACCATTATGGCGTCACTTCCTGTGAAGGTTGCAAGGTAATTAATGCCTAACTATTTTTAATCGGAACTAAATTTTTTTTTTGTAAATAACGTAATTGATTCTTGTCCATTAAAAATTGAGTCCAGTACAGATTGAAAAAACATCGTAACTGCTTCACGAAAGATTTCTAGAAAAGTATCTTGAGAGCCGTGATGGCTCAGGAGATAGAGCTTTCGTGGTCAACCGGGTTCGAATCCCAGCGGTGGCTGCGAATTTTGCATCCAGCTTGCACCGACCACAGTGTTGATGTAAAATATCCTCAGTGTTAGTCTGGTTAAGTTCCTCCTGCACTCAAGTTAACTGTGAAAGGTTCTCGTGTTTTTCCTCTCCATGTAATGCAAATGCTGGATGGTTCCATCATTAAGTTCTCTATGAAGACAAATTTCTCCCAAAACGTGATCCAGGAGTTTCCTTGTCTTCCGGATTGAGTTCGAAATGACAAGGCTATGGAGTTGGAACATTAGTAGTCGTAAACAAAAAAAAATTGGGTCGCTGTTCAACGAAGGCTATAAAAAGAGTCTTGACAACTATTTTCTTTCAAGTATTGCTAAAATAGAATTTTTTTTAAAAACTCATAAAACAAAATCTATTTTTGAAAGAAAAAAAACATTTTTTGCAATATGTAGCTAATCATACATGGATGCCAAATACATAAAAATCTCTATATTTAATTTTTCATCGATTACATTGATTTTTCTATTTCACGGCAGAGTAAGCTTCAATCACTGGCGTCCTGGGAGTAATAAATACTCCCTATATTGTGGTTAGAAGCGATCGTTGTGTAATAAGGTTTTTTTACGGACTCCAGAAACGAATATTTCTTCTACTAATCAGACAAAAAGTTCCGTGACCTCAAATAATTTGATTTTACTAAAAATGAATCTATACAGATGTTTATATAATCATACTAAGGGAGTACAGATTTAGGAGTTTTCCTGTCTTCTGTATTGGGTTCAAAATTAAAAGGCTTAGGAGTTGAGCATTAGTAATCGTTAACCCAAAAAACTAGATCGGCTGTTCAACGTCTGTTATAAAATAAAATAAAAAGTGTTTGTATGTTCTAGTCTTTTTCAATAGATCGCAAAAATTTCCTGACATTTTGTCCATTATTAATCAACATTTCATATCTTGAGTTAAAAAATAAATCAATAATAATTAATAACATTTCATTGACATTTGTATGGTTACAGGATGTACTGGCATCGATACATGGTGGTGGAAAGTATAGCGTCTATCCAAATTGCTGCAACTGGCAATTAGCCAGTAGCAAAATTTCCTAATTCTGCCTTATAATTTTGTTTCATAACCGTAGTTAAGCAACCGAACCCAATTTTGGATTTACGACTGCTAATGCTCAACTCTGTAACCTTGTAATTTTGAACCCAGTGAAGAAGACAAGGGAGCTCTTGGATCAAGTATTGGGAGAAATTTGCCCTCCTGGAGGATTTTTTGATGGAACTATGTCGCATTTGGTTTACATGGAGGGAAAGACCACGAGAATTTCCCGCTGTTAGCCTGACGGCAAAGGGACTCTAACCCATGACCTGTCTACCACTAAGGATATTTCACGTCAGCACTGTGCTCTGTGCAAGCCGGATGCGGATTTGTATCGACAAGCCATCGCTGGTATTCGAACATTCGAACTTGGTTCGCCTCATTGGAAGACGAATGCTCTGAGCCATCGCTGTTCTTTCTTTTTTTTATGGAACCAACTTGCATTTACGTTACTTGGTGAGGCTGCGTTAATTCTGCGATTAGCCTGACGGCAAGGGGACTTTAACCCATAATTTGTGTATCACTGATGATATTTTACGTCGACACTGTGGAATTCGGCAAAGATGTATCGCAATTCTCAACATACAAATCGGAAGTCTGCTGAAAACATTAAAAACAGAAGAGGTGAAAGCTGCCTAAATAGGTAAAAAATTTGTCCAGAAAATTTTGTATTATAAGTGGATGCTGTTAACAACAACTTGTTATTACACCATGATAAGACACTATTTTTTCCGTACCATAGTAAACGTTTATTTTTAAATAGTCCATCTGTCTTCGAAACTTTAAAATTCCAATAGAGGCGAAACGGACATGAATTCCTTTATTAACGGAATATTCTTTATATTCCAAAGAACACAAATATTGCCGACTTATAGGAAATAAAATGAAATTATGTTGAAAAAGAAAGTCGAATTTTGGAAAAATAGTACTTATTGTCGTGATCTATGTGTTAATGGAAAACATTTATAACATTTCTAAAAGAAAGAGAGAGAAATATATACTATATTCTAGAGAAATATATAGCAGGTGTCTGTCCAGACATTTTGTGAAAGGTCCGTTTTTCGTGAAATTGTGAAAAAATTACTCACATTCTTTCAACCAGGGTCCGTTTTTATGAATTTGTGCAAATAGGGTCCGGTTATTGCAAAAAACTTTTTCAAGGAGTTTTTAAATTGTAAATAGATACAAGATTATGCTCGGCACTGTAAAATTATAATAAAAAAATTAAATTTTCAAAAATAAACAGCAATTGCTGCTTCTAAATCAGAGATGCAACATACAAATATTTCGTATTTACCCTATATTGCTGAACGCGGAATATTCATTTCGGACGAATAATGGAAGAATCGTCTGCCGAAGACAAAACCTAATTCGTTTACATCCATCTTTCTTGTTTTCTGCCCTGGGAAGGGTTTATTCGAT